TCTTGTTGTCATGATAACGTTACCATCCACTCTTGCTGTGATGGTAACGTTACCATCTACTCTTGTTGTCATGATAACGTTACCATCCACTCTTGTTGTCATGGTAATGTAACCATCCACTCTCGTTGTCATGTTAATGTACCCATCAAACCATCCAAGTTATTGTCATGGTAACGTGACAACCTGACCTTATTATCATGGTAACGTGAAAACCTGACCTTAATATCATGGTAACGTGACAACCTGAACTTTTTTTCGTGGTAACGTGACAACCTGACCTTTTTGTCATGGTAACGTGACAACCTGACCTTTTTGTCATGGTAACGTGACAACCTGACCTTTTTGTCATGGTAACGTGACAACCTGACCTTTTTGTGATGCTATCGTGACAACCTGACCTTTTTGTGATGCTAACGTGACAACCTGACCTTTTTGTCATGGTAACGTGACAACCTGGCCTTTCTGTCATGGTAACGTGACAACCTGACCTTTTCGTCATGGTAACGTGACCTTGACATGCTTATTATTTCAAATCGTAGAAAGCAGCAAGGAAAAAGATGTGCTGTATTCTTGTTATTGTGGTGATCGCCGCAGCAATCATTGGAGTAATCATTTATGTTATTGCCAAGTAATCAGTCATCCAACATAATATAGGTCACTATACGATAGATCTCAATCCTAATGACTTTTCATACCGAAGCTACCACAATCCTTTTCAAAATCACTTTGCATTTTTATATCAAAATTCCTTTGAGCAATACCAAGACGATAGAGTGAACATTAACATAAAAAAAAGCTACCAAAGAAGATTCTAGTAGTAAAGGTATAAAACGTCATCATGATTGACGTCTATAATGATACAATGATTACAAATTTACTGAAACAATACATTCTATACAGTCCCCCTGGCAGCCGTCATTAGTGTCGGTTCTAAAGGTCCGGGAGGATCTGGGACCTTCACTGATGAAGTCTGCAGAGAATAATACACTTGATACGATTTGACCCTTTAAGATTACTATCGTTTTCAACCACGTGATCAGTAGACTTGTTTACCTTGCCAGTCTTACTTATTGCATGTCAATCGTTTTGTGATTGGACTCGATGTCTGATGGAGGTGATCCATCTTTCCGACCAATCCTTCACGAAGGAAGGGCTTTTGATACATGTATGTACTGAAAAGATTACTCCAATTGACTTGGGGGGTGGGGATGAGGAGGATATACTACTACACGAAATTTAACTTTGTTATTGATAATGCCAGTAATCCATATAATAAAATAAGATTTAAAAAATAAAATAGGTACTGTACAAAGATAGTTTAGCTAAGATGATGCTACAGCCTATGACAGTAACGAGTTGGGAACTTATTTGCCGCGTAGGAACTGGTGTTAACAAGTCTAGTCTATTGTGCATTGTTTTCACGGCTATTGTGGTACAAATTTCATGGAACTTTGGCCCGGTAGAGAAAAACTTGGGCGTTTAAGATACCGAGCCAAGCCCAGTTGAGGTAAGGTTAGCAGCTGGAGGTTGGGTGTCATAAACATTATACCTAACCAAGCTTTTGCTCCTTTTTCCCCAATTCACCTGTCACGGCGCTAGCTTGATATTTAGATTTTAGAATTGTGTTACGGTCACCAAAGAGTTCGGACATTGTTCTCGGATTTCCATACAAATTCACTGAGTTTAAAGACAAAATTTAGGTAGATTTCTTTAGTTAGCTATCTTAACAGCAGTAAGAAAAGCTTCAATCAAACTAGAAAAATGATCATTTACTTGTATTTATAGAACGAACTAAACATTAACTAAGTAAATAGTTCATTTAGAGTCAGTACATTTGTACGAAAATTCGACAAAATGTCCGAACTTTTTGGTGACCATAACACAATCTAAAACAATTTATACCACGTGACGGCTAGCGCCGAAAAGGTGTATTCGAAAATAACAAATATAGAACTTTCCATTTTGCTCGCATTTGTCAAATGCGTTTCCCATTTCCCTAGCAGCAGATTAGCACCCAGTTACATATTCGTTTCTGTCTAGCTCATTTTGACGTTCATTCACGTAGAGTATTACACTYTTACTGAGATATTAACCGAATATAGTTTATAGTTTTAGATATGATGTCACAGGCAACCCAAGSTCACTACATTTATAAGAGAATGTATGGGGATTTAGAATATGCCGTATTTTATTTATTCTCCCTCGCATCCGTTTTTAGTGTCGGTCGTCACGCAACGCTCCCTCCCCACAAACGGCTGCTTGCATGCAGTTTTGAAGGGTATTTAAGAAAACATTCTAACGGAACGTAAGTGTTGGAACTTTTTTCTTAAATACCCTTCAAAACTAACTGAAACTGGATGCAGGAGTTCAAAATAAACAAATTGACACAACAGGTAAGTCGACRAACTTTAATTCACGTTTTTCCAAATAAAATACGGCATATTCTAAATCTCCATACATTCTCTTATGAATGTAGTGAGCTTGGGTTGCCTGTGATCAGGTCTGAATTAGTTTTGTGCTCGATTTCATAATGACGTCACATATTGTTTTAACGCTAGGGATCATGGTCGCTGGAGGGGGATGGAATGACAACAACACATCTTAAATCACAATGAAATTTGGTTTATGAGCTGGTGAAGGCTAGAACAACTAAATCTTACGCTAAACATCTCGAAAGAAGAGCCTAAATTTCTATCATTTTAGCCGATGTAAACAAACCGTGACGTCATTATGAAATAGGGCAATCATTTAAAACAACGTGAAATCAAGGCTGATCGTGTATTGGCTCTGTTCCTTATACAAATCCTTATAGTTTCACTGAAATGCGGTAATAATACAGGTATTCTTGCTAGAGCACTACTAGTTATAGCATGTTTCAAATGCTCGTTATCATGAATTTAAAATAAATATATAGCTGGGTTACCCTAGGGTTCGTGCTTGTTACTCCTGATACTCTTCGAATTTGAAACCCATTTCCTTGGAAATAAAGAGCCATTGAGACTTACTAATACAGTCGCAAGTGTGAAAAAATCAGTCGGATAGGTCACTGGCGTTAAGTTTAATCAGACCGGAACCAGTTGCTTGGTCTTTTCGACGGTAGCTATGGGGGCTCCGGAAGGCCCCACACCCAACTCACCATATCAATGCTAGCTGTGTCTAAGGCTTTGTTTACGTCGTAAAATTGCTGCTAATTCAAAACAGTGACGTCACTGTTTCGTTGCTATGGTAACTCCGATTCCAATGAAATGTACGTCCGTGTTATAAACTTCAATGGGTGAAATTTCAAAATCGTGGGTGATTGCATAAAAGAGCTATATATACGGCCGTCCGAAGTCGACCGTTTGAACACTAAAGGACCTGTAGGAAGCCTCCTTAACCATGTTTGATCGGCGATCGATTTTTAAAATGGCCCCTCTAAAAGGTACGCATGAATAAAAAGGCTCTTAAAACCAACCTGATTTCAAACCCTAAAAGGTACAGCTTTATTTCAGTAATTTACTATTAACCCCGGCTATCAACGCCGGTTTAACGAATGACAGGACAGCGTATTGTAATCATTGTAAAGTAAACAGCGGCATAGCATGGATAAATGACCCCAAAAGGAACGGAGGTATGTTACGTAATTGACTTTTGAGCCGGAACCTTTAAAAGGTCCACATAGGGAATATTTTCAACCCTAAAAGGAGCGCCGATCACCCCTACCACCTGAACAAAGGGAGTACACCCACCACCCCCCGGGGAAATATTATAAATCTAATGCATGTCGACCTTGATGAAATTAAAAAAACATCAACTTTTTTTCAATTTTATTTTACCTTTCGCTTTTATCTAAATTCGGTTGCCTTTGGTAATAGTACGTATTTCGTATAACGTTCTAATGAGGCTGTAAGTGGGCGGGCCTAGTTTAAAAGTCGGAACTAACGTGCTGGGAATGTCAGAATATTGCGCATGTGAAGCTAGTCTCCCTCGCATCCGTTTTAAGTGTCGGTCGTCACGTAAAACGGATGCGCGCGAGGGAGACTAAATGTGAAGCCCGTCGTTTTATTTGAATTCAATTCAATTTTTCTCTTCCCACGAGAAATGTTGCGTGACAAACCTATCTAATGACGTGTGCGTAGAACGGCCCAATAAATAAAATGCGACGGAGTCGAAAGCTCGACTTCTCAACTCGGCCATTCTTGGGTTTAGCGTGCCAAGTCTAAGCTAAGTAAACGTAATTTCCGCGCCTATCGTTGTAGCAATATTACAATTAACTAGTGCGACACTATTTTTAGCTTAAACCAGATGGCTTCTGTTACCAATCAGTCATCATCTTTTCCGAAGCAACAATAACAAATGCAGACAAGGATGAAAAAGGGCAGCAGAATGACAGCAATCACGATCCACATCAACATCAGCAAGAATCCTACACAGCAACCTGTAGGCAAACAAATATATAGAATCTATGCTGTTATGTTGTTGTTTCATGATTGGAAAACTGATTCCGGAGTAACTATCGAATACCCTGCACCCTGCAAAAAAAGTGATGGGGGGGGGGGGGGGTGTGAAAATAAGCTACGCGTCTACTCGCAACGAAGTGGAAATTTTAGAATGGGCTATGTGTGCCTTACTCGTATGTGAAGTGGTTATGCGTCTACTTGTGGCTACGAGACAAATTTAAGTAACTGGGTTTTAGAAAAGGCCAACAGAAAGTTTATTAATTAGTCTTTCCCTGTGCCTTCAAAGTGCTGACGAGTTCTCTAAGGTAGCTACGCGTCTACGTCTAGGGTGTGGGGTATTCGAGAGGTGTACCCTGATCATGAATCCTGATTCCAATTCAATCTGTGAAAATCTGATCAATATGATCAGCCCAGAGATATCAGGGTTTAGATCAGTGAGGTAGCAATGCCTTGATTTAGATCCGCCCATGCAAAAGTTGTTTCAGGGTTCTATCTGTGAGTCAACCGTGTGCCCTGACTTTAATCAGCCCACAGGTTGTTTCGGGGTTCGATAAAACTTGAAGGTTAGATTTGAGAAAGAAATGCAACAGTCGACAGCCAATTTTCGCAGGATACCTGACGACAGTTCCATGACAGAATAGGTCACTTGCATTATAATGTCATTTACTACCACTACCATACTCACACTTTCTTTTGTTCAGTTAAATATTCTCATGAGGAAATACAAATTGGAATAAGAAAGAAAATTCGCGAAGCATTTTGGTAGTGGTAGTAAAATGACGCCATTATGCAAACGCATTATTGTTTTCTTAAAGATGGATTCACTTGCACTGAATTAATTTCACTCTTCCGCTGCTGCACACAGCGCGCAACAATCAATATAGAACCAGGTTTCAATCTCTGAGTGCAAAACCCAAATATCAAATAGTTGTCTGTCTGCGGGTATCATGCAGAACTCACCTTTGCCCCGTGGATCATACCAAGATGCTTGTTGTTGTTGTGGGGGAGGCAGGGCTCTGAAGTTCAATAATAGTTGAAGTCAGGTTTACTTTTAGACACTTCTAGAGTGACTTTGAGAGAAATTTAACATTCATTGCTTGAACGAATAATAGAGAGTTTAAGTATCTAGTTTGCGGCAAACGTAAAACCTCAATTCTTTAGGAATGAGTGAAAAAGAATCAAAAAAAAACTCTACAAGAGTAGATAAGGTCATAGTTTTTCGGCTTTTGGGTCTGGGACAGGGTATCATTTTTGTCTAGGATATGTTACGATTTGGTCGTTTCTGTCTGGCGAATAGCTACGCATCTGCTGGCACAAAAACAATAAAAACGTTAGTAAATATTGATTGCAATCTATTGAATATTAAACCGTCTTTTGCGTGTCAACAAAAGGTAATATGACCGAGATGTAGATGTAGACTACTGATTGTTTGAAATGGTTTCAATAATGGCCATATCCATTCTTAAAGTCTTAAAGCTTAACATACATGTTGGGCTTTAGTCTGGGAAAGGGTGTACAATTCTTATTTTTAGTCTGGGGTAGGGTATGTAAAATCAAAATTTTAGGTCTGGGATAGGGTCAGGGTTTTGAGGTCCTGGAGACTTACCCCTACCCAAGTTCGGGTGGTAGTACCACTCCCCCTCCTCCCGGGGTACTCACGACCTGAGCCGGTCAACTCGTAATGCATCTCATCTTTTCAGAAGGTCAAGTCGTGAATAATTTACTGTTATCAAGATTGCGTCATTCTATAAATTTCTCGGAAAATGAAATGTCGCTTTGAATATAAAGTTCAGGTGGGACTTATCAAGATATCTGAGATAGTAATATTTCAGAGATAATAATTTCAGAGATA